TACTTGCTGACTTGTGCTTTTTCCCAGTGTTCTCTGAGAAATGGAGGCGGGGAGAGGAGCACCTCAACACAGGGGCTATTGCTCATGCTGGGTGCTGTGTCTGCCCGCATGTTCACCTGGTGCTGTGCCTGCAGCTGTGTGGGTCCCACACCCTGAATTCTGCACTCTAGTTCTCAATTCCCAGGGCTCTCAGATACAAAATGCTGGCTGTCATCCTGTGCAGTGCCACTGTTATGGAGTGTACCACTCCCAGGATTCTGTGGCCAGCTCTCAATTCCAGAATGGGGTCTTGCTCCATGTTTCATTTCCCTTCTTGTCCGAGCCCGCGGACTGGTCAACAAGGTTCTCGAGGGGAGAGCAGCGACCTGAAGAACAGGGGTACACCGGAGGGAGACACGTGCACTCTTCGTTCAACTACCGCAGGTCTCTTTTACTTTCGGTTTCGGCGGGGCTTTATAGCTGGGGACTGGAAGCGGAAGAAGCAGGCCAAAGCTGTCATGCACACTGGGCCAAAAGATGCTAATCCCGGAAGGGCACATGCCCTTATTTGGTGCGCCGGAGGTCGTCATGCGCACTGGGTCGAAGGAGCACAGCCAATCACGGAAAGGGGAAGTATCCTGATGCTAGGAGGTAAGGCGCCAACACCTTCTCACCTCCTTTGCATGGCACACCCCCTCTTAGAGCCTGAGGGTGGTTTTGGGATCCCTGGCTTCCAACTATCAGGAAGTTGGTGATTTTGTTTTCATCACTAGTTGGCGCCAGAGATCATTCTTAGTAGCCTTCCAGAATTGTGCTTCCCCACCCTCCCAACCATCTCCCGGAACAGAGTGGGGGTGGTGTGGAGTGACTCAACGGTGTGGGGATGCGGTATCTGCCCTGTGCCCAGCCATCATGAGGATCCCACGCCCCGAATTTCATGCCCTGGTTCTTAGTTCCAAAGCCTTCAGATCCAGGACTTGGGTGGTAACCCAGTTCAGTGCCCACAGAAATGGCATCTTTTGCACCCCACTCCCATGCCCAGGCACCTGGTTTTTGATTACCCAGTGAGGGTCATTTACCTCAGTTATAGCTCGTGTGCATCTCTCCACAATCCTAGGTTGCGGGCACAGGAAAGTTTGAAAGTTGCAATGACAGTGAAGAAATGATATGAGTAAGGTCTCCCATATAAACAATTAATAGGGAGGAAAATTGGCAGGTCCCTGTGAAAACTGGGACACAGAAGATAAATTGGCAAAGCTAGCAAACTGCCTGAAGAGCTTGCAGCTGTGATCCTCGTATGCTTTTCTTTTCTTTTTTTTTTTTAAAGATTTATTTTTTTATTTATTTATACAATCACTGGGTACAGCCAGAAGCGCGGGAGGGTGGGTGAGAGAATTCACCAGAGCCAGAGTGGGGAGCAGAGCAGGCAGAAGGACGGAAGTACACTGCTGAGGGGAGCAGCAGGCGGCAGGAGTGGTCTGCACCGCAACATGTAGGACCCTCCTTCGGTGGCCCGGGAGCAGCGGCCGGGGAGCAGCTGGGGATCGCACCGGCGCTGCAGAGGCTGCGGACAGCTTCACAACCCAGCACCCAACCACCCAACCGCACCCAACCAGGGAGGCCCTGGTCCTCGTTTGCTTTTCAAGGGCACACCTGCTTTTCCACACAAGCTTCCTGGCTGGCCTTGGGCTATTTCCAGGTCTCTCCACAGAGTCCTTATCTTCCTCTAATGGCACTGAGTTTGCAATTACCTAGTGCTATTCACTCACCTCCGGGGTGCTTTCTGCACAGTGCTCCACAGTTCTGGTCATGGGGGTGCAGTGCCTGCAGTTGTTCCTTTCCACTCACTGTGCCCTTGTTCTCTAGTTTGCTCTTGGTTTTTTGTTTTTGTTTTTTTTTCTCCTTTCTGTTGGCTGGAGTGAGCTGGCTTTGTGGGTTGGGGAGGGTAGCAGCGTTCTGATGTTTTCCTCTCTTCTGTTCCTCTTTTATTGCAACTTTCCTCTTCAGGCAGTTTGCTAGCTTTGCCAATTTATCTTCTGTGTCCCAGTCTTCACAGGGACCTGCCGCTTTTCCTCCCTATTAATTGTTTATATGGCAGAACTTACTCATAGCATTTCTTCACCGTCATGTTTATCTCTCTCCAAAGAAAGGTCTATCAAAGGCAAGTAGACAGGTGCAAAATCTTGGAAGGATGTCAGGGAATAAAGAGTGTTATTCACCAAAAAAATCTGAATATATAAAATTGGTCACAAAAGGAGACTGAACGAAATTCAGACAAATTTAGAAAACACATTAAATAGAATTAAACTGGCTAAAGAAGAAATTTCAGAAGTAGAATGAACAAATGAACAAATCACACATTGAGAAAAGGAAATAAAATAAATAAAAAGGAAAAATGAGAACGATCAGATTCAATAGAAGAGAAAATAAAAATAGTTGAGGGCCTCCCCTGGTGGCACAGCAGTTGAGCACTGGGCTGCGAAGCTACCCGCAGCCTCTGCAGCGCCAGTTCGGTCCCCAGCCGCGAGGGTCCCACATGGCACGCAGACCTCTCCTGCTGCCCGGTGCTCCCTTCAGCAGTGTATTTCATCCGTCTGTCTGTTCTGGTCCCTGCTCTGGCTCTGGTGAATTCTATCACCATCCCACGCTTCTCACTGTACCCAGTGCTTGTATAAATAAATAAATAAATCTTACTAAATAAATAAATAAATAAATAAATAAATAAATAAATAAATAAATATAAATAGTTGAGAATAATGGCCCACCCAGACACCCCAGCTAGACCTACCACCACATTGTGCACCCAGACCTGTGCCAGGGAGCCCTCAGGTGGTCCCGTCTACAAGGTCACACAGTACCCTAGCTGAATCCAACACACTATATGCCTGGACCCATGCCAGGGAATCCTTCTGGAGATACCAGACACCACCCATCCCAGAGCCCAACCACTAGTCACATGGTACTGTCTGCTTTGAGGAAGGCACCAGTTACTGTACTTACTAAGAGGTAAGCACCCATAATCCTCTCAACCTTCTGTGCATCTGGCCTTTACCCCGGTTCTTGTATAAATAAATAAATAAATCTTTAAATATATATATATAGTCAATTTCTAAGTTGTGGGTAATTTTCTATGTTAACCATAATAAAGATGAGGCTTGTTCTTTGCCGCTTGTAGATCGGTATCAGGGACAGTAGCTACATTATTCTTGGTAAGATAAAAACCTATTAATACAGGTTTGTGTATATGTCCTATTCTGTTACCATAATTATTCTACTCATGAGCCATGGTGTAAATGTTGAGCTGGTAAAGGATGGCATTTTAACATCTGTAGAATTATTCTGTTAATGTGATCATTTAATGTCTCTGGATTACATGCTTTCTGGTAGACATTAACATGCAATATGAAGATTCATAAACTTTATTTCCATTCCTGTATATCGCCACATCTCTTCTCCAGAACTCCTTGTCTCTTGTACTTCAATATTTATCCTTCCAACCCCATGGACAACGAGTCTAATATTTACCACTGTCCATGAATCTAAACAAACACATACTGTGGGACACTTCTTTTTCCACACAAATGACCAGATGTCCATTGGAAATATTTCCCTCACCACTATTCTTCAGAGATAACCTTAATTAGAGTTACATTATAGTAACAATTCTCTTCCAGCTCAAAATAAAACAGAAGAAACCCACCTATTAATTAGTCCAATGTGGCATTTTTCCCTCTCATTTAGACCAGAGAATACCTTTAGGAATAATAAGAATGGGTCCTCCCTGATGATGCAGGCAGTTTAGCGCCACACTGTGAAGCTCTCTGCAGCCTCTGGAGCACAGGTTCAATCCCAGCCAACTACCGAGAATCCCACATGGCACAGCAGACCTCTCCTGTCTCACCCGCTGCTCCCCTCAGCAGTGTATTTCTTCAGTCTGCCTGTTCTGTTCCTTGTTCTGTCTCCTGTGAATCCTCTCACCCTCCATGCATCTGGCCTGTACCCTGGTTCTTGTATAAAAATAAATAAATCTTTAAAAAAAAGAAATAATAAGAACAAGCTTAGGCACAATTGGTACAATGAAGTACTTGACATTGGGATCTTGCCAAGTTGTTCATGTATTTGTTGTATCCTCTGGGCATGCTATGGATGCCCAGGTAGCCATTTCTTTTAAAGAAGAACTGCTTCTATACTAATGCAAATTAATGACTTGATGGGTCTCAGAGAAACCAGGTTGTGATGGGAAATTTTCTTCACATAGATAACTTGATTACATGATCTGACACATCCAACCAAAGCCCAGAAGCATGGCAAGAATTATTTTAATAATCATAAGTAGTTGCATTCTATAAATGGCATAGTCTTGCTCAGGAACTCTTGTGGGCTTAGAGTGCTACAACTCTCTTGTTGAGTTTTTTCTGAATGTCCTGTAGCATTTTTATCTAGAGGTATCACTATTGCCATGGTATCTCTTAGATAATATTAGTCCAAACAACAAAATCACTTATATCAGAACCTACATCTCACAAAAGTATCTCCTTTGGGTCTCCCTGGTGGTGCTAGGGATTAAGTCTCAGCACTATTGAGCTATCAGCAGCCACTGCAGCATGTGTTCGACCTCCAGCCAGGGAGCTGACCCACCTGGTGCAACAGACCTCTCCTGTCTCCCTGCTGCTCCCCTCAGCAGTGTATTTCAGTTAGTCTGCCTGTTCTGCTCCCCACTCTGTGTCTGGTGAATCCTTTCACCCCCCAATACCTCTGACCTACACCTCAGCTCTTGTATACATAAATAAATAAAATACATCTTTTTTAAAAAATGTATCTTCTTTATTCTAGGTTCTACTTAGTGCTGCTCATTTTTAGATATGAACAGCCCCAAGTATGACTTATGTTGTTTCTAAAACCCAAAAAGGTCTACCAAGAATGTTGTACCTTATATAATGATAAAAGGCTCAAGATTCAATTATTTTTCATTTTTACTGAGAGGATGTACAATGTACTCCAGATCACTGGACCTCCAAAAGTATTATCAATTCAGGAAATACAGAGTGTATTTCCCCTCATCTGGAGCGCACATCTCTCACCAGAGCATCTTACTACTTCTTCCTCGGGACCTCAATGGGTTGGATGATGCCCACCTACACTGAAAAAGGTGATGTTTACTCAGTCTACTAATTCAAATGCTAATCTCTTCTAGAAACAACCTCACAGATACACCCAAAAATAATGTTTTACCAGCTCTCTGAGCACACGGTAGCCCGAATTAATAAATAAATTTAAACATCACATTGTTCAGAAATACATTGAGTGTAGATTTCTTTTCTTTGTGAGGCTTCATTGCAAAGGCATGTTTGATTGAATCATTGGATATGTAGTTGAACTCAATTTCCTTCCTCCCTGCGCCTTGGCGGTCAGGCTGATGACTCAATATTCCAAACTTCTAATCACATGGTTGTTCTTTCTGAAATAACAAGCCTTCACCATAAACTTCCTTGGGTCCTAGCATAAATGCAGGTGTGATCTATGGGCTTATGAGTAGCAAAGATATTTTTGTCACTTGAGAAATTCCAAAGGTTTAAACGCTCTATACCAGAAACCCAGTACAAAGAGCAAATTCTTTATCACCCTCCCTTATCATTCTTACCTCTTTTTGGTCCTTCATAATACTTTATTACCCTTATATGCACACTTACAGATTTGTTTATTATATGTATGCTAGCACATGAAAGCTTAAGTTTTATGAAATTGCGGGGGTTTTTTTGCTTGTGTTTGTATTTTTGGCACCTACTGTACTGCCTGATAATATAATCTCAGTGATTATCTTTTAAATAAGTGACTAGTGAATAAAAACCAAGCAGATGATTCTTGTGCTCAAATGAGTGTAGGACACAGTTACAGGTGCTACAAATTCCTAGAAGAAAAATAGAAATCATATAGACCATTTATTACAGTGAAGGATTGAACTTCTTAATGGAAATAAGGTATGTTTCATTTGTGCCAGTGGTGCTGCTGCCAGTCTTTAAACAATTTTCTCCCAAAGAGTTTCTTCAGTGCCAACATCACCTCTTTATTTCTAAGAGAATATATCAGTGGGTTCAGCACTGGGGTGACCGCACTGTATATGATGGCTACCATTCGGTCCTGAAACATGGATGTGGCTGAGGCAGGACGAATGTAGGTAAAACCCACAGGTCCATAGAAAAGAAATACCACCATGAAATGGGAAGCGCAAGTGGACAGAGCCTTGTGAAGTATTCTGCAAGACTTATTCTTGATCAGAAGAAAGCCAATAATATAGAAGTAGGAGAGAAGAGTCAGGAAGAAAGCTCCCATTGATATGCTGCCCGTGACAACAGAAAGAAGCCACTGATTGAGTATTGTGTCACCACATGCCAGTTCCAGCAGGGGCTTGACATCGCAGAAGAAATGATTGAGTTTTTGAGAGTGGCAAAAGTTCAGATGTGCAGTCATTACAGAATGCATCAAAGCATAAAAGAAACTGATGATCCAGGCCACAGCTGCCAAGAGAATACACAGCTGGCGGTTCATGATGACAGTGTAGCGAAGTGGATTGCAGATAGCAACAAAACGATCAAAGGCCATGACAGCCAGTAAGATGGCTTCTGTGCTTCCCAAAAAGTGGAAGAAGTGTAGCTGAGTGATACAGCCTAGGAATGATATGGTCCTGTGAGCGACGAGCAGGTTTATAAGCACTTTGGGCAACGTCACTGAAGAATAGCAAATATCCAGACAAGAAAGATTTCCCAAGAAGAAATACATAGGGGAGTGGAGTTTAGGTTCCAAAAAAACAATCACTAAAATAGCTCCATTTCCAAACAAGTTTATGAAGTAAATGATTAAGAAAATGACAAAGAAGAAAGGCTCCAGCTCCTGAACACTCGTCAGGCCTAATAAAAGAAACTCACTCACTGTAGTGATATTTTCCATTGCTTTCGGGAGCAAAGGTAACAATAACAACAAGTTAATATTTTTGACATTTTAATTTAACACTATGAGAGTTAAGAAAAGTTCAGTTTCCTATTTGGAAGAACCTAGGGGTAAGCTATGAAATGAAAAATATCTAGTAAAGTGACACTTGTTACAAAAAAGATTGTTATATTAGCATACCAGATAAATCCCAAACCAGTAAAACATTTGGTTGATCATGGGAGTATATTAAAATAAATGGGGCATAAAAGACATTTTTTAAAAGTAGGAAATGTGGTACATTACCATAGACAAACTTAAAACACATAAATAAAGGAATCACTAGTTGATCAGTTTATAATTCTAGGTTCTGGCTTGACATAGGTGTTGCCTAGTAAGATTTTCTAAGATGCATAAAATTCTCAGGAAATCAACACACCCCTCCTAAATACCTAAACCACCAGTAAAACTAGGTGACATAAACCCAGATATTTCAAATATTGTGTATGTAGAGAAGATAAAAACAAACTTACTTGGCATTAATGATTACAGGTTCAAACTTGACAGTGGATTCCTGGGTGTAGTTAAGGAAAATTTGAAATAGTGAGAAACTCAAACATTAGAAAAAGGAAAACCTTGAAAACACTTCAAATATTTCAGCTTTGGGAGGAGAGCGGCCCACTGTTGGTGGGAATTTCTATAGAGTGTTTGTGGGAATTAGAATAAGACAAAACATGATTGAAGGAGGTGGAGAGAAAAAGAATAGCAAAAGTAGGAAAAACAAAGAAAACCATATTTGTAAAATAAAAGTCTCCATTGTATCAACAGAAGGAGCTCTAGAACTGAGGAACTGGAAACACTACCTGATTCATTCCTCCCACACATCCATTAACATTCTCCTACTAATACTTGGCTCAGAACATCAGTCCAAGGTAAGTCCCCAAGAAAAGTTTCAAAAGTTCTTTAACCAAAATAATGAATAGTCAAATCCACAATTATATGAATCTTTAACATATATGATAGATGAATATATGATAGTCATATATTCATATATGATAGATGAATAAGTCAAAAGTTAGTAAAAATATAAAAATCTGAACAGCATAATGCATACATTTGACTAATCATCAAGAGAAAAATTAACATACATCCACAGCACAAACTGAGAGAAATCATCAGTACACTAACATATTCTCTAAAGTTCTTTCTTTAGTTATAAAGAAACTATCCCTAGCAGAAGAACAGAAATGCAGAAAGATATTAAGAACATCAGAATGAGTATGTTTCAGTGTACACATAGGCAAAATGGTCTCTATAAGGGTGAAAATCATCATACAAAGCAATAATGATTATGACTGTGGATGTGAAGACTATGTAGCATACAGAGCATGAATGGGAAAAGAGGAAATCATATTATTTTCAAGTATATATTAAACAGTTACATACAAATCAAACACATTTTGATTCAACAAAAAGCTTCAATTTTTTTTGAAAGCTGAATCAAATAATGTTTTCTGACTATGGTGAGTTTAAGACTGTATCTAGAAATTCATTAAATGCTTGAAATTAAACAACCCACATCTAAATAGTTAATGGATACAAGGGGAAATCAAATAGATGCAAGAATATATTTTTTTAAGCATTGAAAAAAGTTTTTGCAGACAAAAAAGAACTGGGATTTAGGCTAGAGGTGTGTGTGGGTGGTGGCAAGGGGAGTGAAAGGATCCACCAGAGACAGTGTAGGGAACAGAACTGGCAGTTTTACTGAAATACACTGCTAAGAGGAGCAGCTGGTGAGAAAGGAGAGGACTGCTATGCCCTATGTCGGTCACCTCCCTGGCTGGGGATCCAACTCAAGCCATAGCAGCGATAGCGCTCATACTTAACCCCTAGGCCACCAGGGAGGACACTATTTTTAAATGATAATCAAGATGAGACCTATGACAATTTTGTTATACATCTAAAGGAATAAACATAGAAAATACTTTGGCCTTAAATTCATATTAGAAAAGAAATATTGAAAATCAATATCTTAGATTTCACCTCAAGAAGTTGAATGAATAAAACCAGCAATTCAAACAAAGAAAATAGAAAAAGGAAATAACTAATGTAATAACATAAAACATTAAAATACAAAACAAGAGTACAAAGAAAAAAGTCAAAGCTTAGTTTATTTGAAAAGATTTGTGAAAGTGATAAATTCTAGTAAGACTGGCTGTATGAGTGAGAAAGGCTTGAATTATCAATTGTAAATGTAAAGTCACAACAAATTCCAGCAATGTCAAAAATCATAACGGATCATTATGAACAACTTAATGTCAATGAATTTGACATTTTAGCTGAAATTTTAAAACTACTTCAAAGCAAAAGTACATTACCAAAAATATGACAATAAAAGGAAAAAATGTGAATAGTTGGATTTCTAGATAAGAAACTAGAGCTTTTATTTAAAATCTTCCCCAGAAGAAAATAACAAGTCCAGATTTCTAGTAAATTCTAAATATTTAGGGAAGAAATAATAGTGATTTATACAAACTCTTCCAAGAATTGAACAAAGAAATACTTATCAACTTTCATTCATAAATAATGATTCAAATCCATTCCTTACTATCTTCTATAGTAAACCCATTCCTTACTATCTTCATTTTGTACAAACCAGCATCATAATTCATTTGAATTATTGATTTTTTTTGCACTATACTCAAGACATCATCCAGTATTATGCTGTTGAAAATAAGCCTATGCTCTTGAATGGTTCTCATATTACTCAGAGTAAATATTCAAATCAATAGAGTAACCTACAAGATCCTACAAGATGACTCCTGTTTACTTTCTGCATCTGCTTCCACTCTACCCTTTGATTAGTGATTAGCCACACTGACCTCTGCGCTGTTCCGAGCTAGTAATACTAATAACACTATTAACACTAATAACACTAATAAAACTAATAAAACTAATAACACTAATACTAATAATACTAATAACACTAATAACACTCATTTTAAAGGCTGTGCAACATTTCTCCTCTGATCTGAAATAGTCAGACTTGGTAAATCCACTTGACAAATCCTACATCTTATTCAAGTATTTGCCCTAAAGCCATACCATTGTGTAACTTTAACTAACCTTTTGAATTCACACAAATGCACACACTACAGCATACTGTGGCATCCTTCCCTTATATGTTGTTATCAATGACATTTCATTAGTAAATTGGAAGTGTCT